CTGGCCACGTCCACCTCTTGGAGCTGCTGCTGCTGCTGCTGCTGCTGCTGCAGCTGCAGCTGCTGCTGCTGCTGCTGGCGCTGCTGCGACGACTGCTGCGCGCCGCTCATGATTATTATCGAGTCGTCGATGCTCATCGGTGCCGTGACTGCGTTGCCGGGCAGAGACGGCGCCGGTCGGTGGCGATCGTGGCTCGCAGAGCGGAACTCAGGGCGCTGCCCCGCAAAGCCGTAGCCGATGGCGCCCGGGTTGGACTGGAGCATGAACGCCTGCTGCGCCGGAGAAGGCGCGGGTGCCGCCGCCATATGCGACCCAGCCATCTGCGCGAGACGGGTATCCGCGGCGGCTGCGTTGGAGAGCGCGGCCGTCGAGCCCGCCGCAGCGTTCCACATGCGCACGCTGCGGACCTCGTTTTTGATCGCCTCGATGCGCCCCGTGATGGACTCAAACTGGGAGCGCTGCTCCGCCTCGAGGACGCGCTGGCCGCGGTGAAGCAGGTCGACCTGGTGCGCCACGGCGCGGTGCGAGGCCTTGGCCTCCTGCTCCAGAAAGCTCTTCCGAGCCATGGTCCCAATCTTGTAGACTTCGGCCGCGCCCTGCCGCCTGCGCGGCCACTTGAAGCCCCGGCTGGGGGGCTTGATTGTGCCGCAGAGACCTCTTAGCGCCATCGCCACGGTGCTGCATGCAGCGCCGGGCGACGACGGCTTACCGCCTCCCGGTCCCCCTCGGCACACCTCCGCTGCTTAATGTTTGGCGACTCGAACCCGTGAAGCTTCCCCGTGCGCGGGTTACCCCGCACACGGGTCGGCCTGCCAGCCACGTATCCACGCAAGCGTGGTCCGCGCGCATGGCATACAGGCGTTCGCCAGACAGCGCAGAGGCTAGGCGACCGGGGAAGGACTAGCTCAAGGGCAACACAGCGTCACCAGCCGTTGGCGCGCAGAACGAGTCTGCGGCCCCCGGTTGGGACGAGTGCGCGACGCGGACGAACCGCTCAATGTGGCCGGCAGCTCGCGCTGCCGGCGGGGTTGGGAGAACCGGCACGGGGAAAGCCGGCCTCCCCGGAGGGGTCGCCCCCTGGAGGGGGCCCAAAGGGCCCCCCGGGGGGGCGGGGACCCCCGCCCCGAGGGGCGGGGGCAGGTTCGTCGCCTAGCGCGAGGGAGTCAACCCTTGTTGCCACCCGCCACGCCCGCGGCGACCCACGGGCCAAACGCCACAGCGCACAACCCAACGCAACGCACGACGTCGCGCCCCTTTTTTTTTTGAGCTTAGCCTTCGATGTTATGAAAACAAACGCAAGGCGGACATGGCATATCGCTCTCGCGTCTCGGGCCCACAGACATCCCGCACACCCGCCGCCCCCCCCGCGCGCCCCACCCCGGCCGGGAGAAAGGGGAGTGACAGTTTGGGACGGCAACAGAACGAGTATGTTGAGTCCTGGCTCAACAACGCAGAGAGAAATGAAAGCCGTCCGGCTCACAAGTCCGGCTCACGCGCCCCGACTGACTGACCGATCTACCGCACTGATCACTTCCGCCCCCTCGCTCCCAACCCATCCACCTCGCCTCGGGCCGCGCCGCGCAATCTCGGGCGATCTCGCGCTATCTCGGGCGATCTCGGGGCCGCGCCGCGCTATCTCGGGTGATCTCGGAGCGTCGCTCGCGCGTCGCGAGCTCCACACCTTTTTTCGACACACAGAATTCCCGCCTGGAGTTGCCTGTCTCGGAGCGGCACCACCCAAGAGCAACGGTGGACACCCTCACACTCCTGACTCCCTGTCCGCCGCTTCCGCCCCCGCTCGCCCCGACCGCTCCGCCCACCCAGCACTCGGCCGCCTCCGTCGGCCGCCCGCCTCCCCGCGCCGCTCTCCCTCTCTCAGCACCCGCGCGCCCGCCGGCCTTCACCGGCGCTCTCAGCGACGCCACCCGAGCTCTGCTGCCTTGCCCCTGAACCATTGCCGCGCCCGCCGCTCGCTCCGCCTGCGTCAGCGCCGCCACCTGCCTCACCACCGCCGCCCGCTCCGCTCGCCGCAGACACACGACAAGCATGCACGTCATCAAGCGCGACGGACGCCGCGAGCCAGTCATGTTTGACAAGATCACCGCGCGCATCAAGAAGCTGTGCTACGGCTTCGACCCAAAGTACATCGACCCGACGGTCATCACCATCAAGGCGCGGGCCACCACCGACCCACGCCCGGCGAGTGCGAGCCCGCGGCGCCGCCGACCGCCCGCCCCTGGCGCCCGCAGGTGATTCAAGGCGTGTACGACGGCGTCTCCACCACCGCGCTCGACGACCTCGCCGCCGAGACTGCGGCGTACCTGACCACGCAGCACCCTGACTGGTCGAAGCTCGCCGCGAGGTCGCCGAGCGCGGTGGTGGAGACGCCGTCGTACACGCCTTGAATCACCTGCGGGCGCCAGGGGCGGGCGGTCGGCGGCGCGGCGGGCTCGCACTCGCTGGGCGTGGGTCGGTGGTGGCCCGCGCCTTGATGGCGATGACCGTCGGGTCGATGTACTTTGGGTCGAAGCCGTAGCACAGCTTCTTGATGCGCGCGGTGATCTTGTCAAACATGACTGGCTCGCGGGGTCCGTCGC